CACTTGCTTTGTGTATTATTATTACTATTATTATTATTATTATATTTTATTTCAATTATTAAACTGTTTTTATCTCAACCCACGAGTTTTCTCACTTCTACTCTTCCAATTCTCTCCCCCATCCCACCGGGGGTGTGGGGGGAAGAGTGAACGAGTGGCTGTGTGGTGCTCAGTTGTTGACTGAGGTTAAACCACAACACTCACACAATCCTTAATGAGTGCCCTGGGGATATGGTTAACACAGAAAATCAACTTCAATATGATTTTTGAGTATTTAAAGGATATCAGAGAAAACTAACCTGAAATAATGTAAACTTAGAGGAACTCCTGTGTGGTAGGTAAAGGAATACTGGTGTCACTGAAAGAATAATCAGGTGAGAAGATCCAGGATCTTGTCAAGATAATGCCTAGCTAGTGTCCTTGGAGCTTTCTTTCCGGTGTCCATTTGCCATTTCTGTCCATTCATCATACCATTACATGTTCCTCTGTGCTCTAATGCCAGTTCTGCCACTGTTAGTCACTCTTTTCCAACTGTTTGCTAACAAAGTCTTGAGCAACTTCTGGCAAACTGTGGCAATACCTTTCCAATGCTCCTTCAGACAAACGATTTGCTTCCATTTATCTTAGTAGTATTTCCCTGTGTTCTTTGTTGTCCTGTTGCCATTCCCCATCTTCAGGAGCTAATCCTGAACTTGGTGAAGACCTCACATAGGTTGGTTCATTTCATTCCCAGGAAATCAACAAGCTCTGGGCAATGTACCTATTTGGCTGGTTGTTGCTTCAGATTTATGCAATCATTCAAATGCAGAACTGGAAGAGACTCCCAGAGATCATCTGGTCAGTCCTTCTGCATGGAAAGTTAACTTCCAAGAGACGTTGGTCTGTTTGTGGAACCATGCAATGAACTGAATTTGGGACAAAATGCAGTTTGAAATAGTCCCCTCTTCATGATCCCCATCTTTTTTATCTGGAAGTATTTTTACATGGATTAGTTGACAATCCAGTTCACTGCATAGTCATACAGTTTTAAGAGCAAAGCCACAGCAGTGCTATAGGGACAAGTGGCCTAACAATGGGAAAAACTCCTTCATCTGGCATTCCTGCTGAGAGAAACATCCACAAAAATCACCCCCAGACCAAATCCAGCTCCCTCACCCGTTTCTGTGAGGTCCCATTTTTTATAAACATCATTTCCTGTGTGATGAAGGACAAAGGGAAGACTGTAATTGATAGCTGTATGTATAAACTGTCCCTGCCCTATCCTGGAGGACCTGAGCTGCTGCTAGCAATTTTTCTGACTAGCACAAACTCATTCCTGTCAGTAGCCAGGGCTGCGAAAAGGACTGAGCTGCTGCCACATAGAAGTATTTTTTTTTTCTAGGACTTTGTGGTTTTCCCTTTTCAAGGCCTGTGCAGCGGCCCCTGAACAAACACTGAGGTGAATGTTAGCTGCTGAAATTAGATGGTCTTGATCCCTCCCACAGTGAGCGAGGCAGACTGCTCTCCCCTGGCTCCGAGTGCTTTCTGAGGTAGATCCCATTCCCGATACCTGTGCCCGCTGCGACAGCAAGGTTGAGGGCCTACCATCGAACAACGGCAAAGTCTGTTCTCTCAGCCACCGCCCTCGCCACAGCCCACCACAGCGCCCCGC